CTTTTTTATTGCCATTTCCAATATTGTCTTGTCATCACTCAATATCTTTACAATATCTTGTTTCTCTTTTGAGTTTATATCTTTCTTATGCAGTTTTATATATCCAAAATCAAAAAATAAATTTAAATTAATATAGTATAATATATATTTATTTTTACACCTGAACTTCACCTTGACACTAGATTTGGCTTTTTGAATGTGATGTCATGAGTGTAGATCTGGATGTGTGCAGTCGTGGTTTGTTTTTTGTATTTTAATGTCGTGTTCTTTGAGGATATAAATGATCATGGCTGTCTACAGATTCCTTTTCTTATCTATCCAGTCTACCCTTCTATTTAACTCCTAGCTGGCTTCATGCCTTTTCTCAAAGGTATTCATGTAAAAGTGAACACTACAGACTAGCTAGTAATTTGAACTCTACTTACCAATCCATCTTCCCATGCCAATACTTGTTACACTACCTGTACATCCTCATGCAACTCTTTACTCACCTAAAACATATACAGATTGTTTCTTGATGAGAACTATTTTTATTTCTTGGAGTGGATAAAGTTGACTAATTATAATTAGTTGACTGAGGATTGTTTTTTTTTTTTTTTTTTAATTAAAGGGCATTACCAAGAAAGATGAGCTCTAACTTTTATCTGCCAGAATGTTATATTTAGTGTTAGCCTTCAGCCCCTGTTCTCATCATTGAACCAAACCTAAAACAATCAGGAGGCAAAAAAGTAATCTCAAGCAAAAGTGACTGAGGCAAAAAAGTGATTTGTATTTTTTCTTAAACAAGGCATTCCCCACTACTACTGCCACCCTTCTCGACATTAACAGCATGACTCTGAACAAAAGAAAAGGAAACACTAGAAATTTGACTTTGTGATTCTCAAAAGAAATGGTACCATTTTGTCTGGGGAATTTGATTGCTGTCACTCACAAAAGAATCATTGAGAATTCCTTTACATCCTCTTCAATCTTTTGACTAAGGTGCATTGTAACCTGATTCAATAGTCACCAATTCCACACATTTTGTGCATTAATCTCTTAAGTTAATGGTTGATTATAGCCTGTCTGGTGACATTAGGAAAAGAGTTTTCTTTCATTTTCTATTTAATTGATTTTGGAGGTCTTCTGCTTAATTATCTATTGACTTTGGCATTAACAAAAATTACACTCATCTCTTTTTAACTGATAAATACCTGTTGAAGATTAAGGCTTTGTATATATGTGTATTATGCACACACACACCATACACATAGGGAAAACAGAAATATATCTACTTTTATACTAGTTTAATTACATCTCTGATTGTTTTTGGAGTAGTTGTAACAAATTTTATGTCAAGTTTAGATCAATTCTTTTCAATTGTAGTCGTTATTGAGTTGATAATATTATTTGCCTAGTTTTATCAAAGTTATTTGTGTTATTTTCTTTTTTGTTTTCATGGATTTTGTAAGCTTTCCTTTTTGCATTATATATAAAGTAATTAGAAGACTGGAGGAATTTAAAAGTATTTTCAATGTATTTTCTTCATGTAAATATTAAGGATTATAAATTTTAAGTGATCTTAAGTAGAAACCTATAACTATTCTTTGTTATTCTGGAATGTATAGAAGTTTGAAGATCCCTTTTTTCCAGTGGATTTTCAGATGTTTAGTTTTAGATCATTAAAATCTATTTATAATGGTTTAATTTTGAACATAAGTATTGTTTTCAGTAGATTTTATTCATCTTAAATTTATTATAATTGTCTAAGATATAAAATATTACTACAAGAGATGTCTATGTAACCCATGATATCAAGGGTAGGATTTTATTTTTGGGTAGTTGATATCATTCTGTTGAGTGCTAGTTTGTGATTCTGAGTTACATTCCAGTGTCTTTGTTAAAATATCCTGATTGCTTGACTCTTTATAGTTCAGTTTTATTTTGAGTAATTATTAAATTTTTTATATTGTTATTCTGCTTGTTTGCATATATAGCCATTATGCTTTTCTATCTAGGATCCGAGTGTAGTATCTGCCTGAAGCTCAGCCCTTCTGAGCCGGAAACAACTTTGTTTTCTGACCAATAAAGCTGCATAATAATATTAATTAGGAAGGAATTGGGAAAACGAGGTTGGGTTAAGGAAGAAGGGTAGAATGTAAGAAAGAAAAACATCAGGTGAGAGGAAAGATACATATGTATTTAAAAGGAGACGAGAGACTGGCTAAGTGACCAGGTATCAAGAAACAATGAGTAAAAGATTTGAAATGCTGATAGGAATGGAAAGGTATTAAAATTGTGATATATTAAAATTCATTATGGTATGAAAGAATGAAAGATAACAGAGGATGCAGTAGAAAATACTTATGCGTTCCTTAATATTTTTTTTCATATGAAACTCCTTGTGTTTGACATGAACATGCAAAGAACATTGAAAGGAATAAGGGAAAGAATGAAAAGATTTAGGTATGAGAAGAGCAGAGGTATGTTAATGAATAAATTTGTCAATACCCATTGAATTTCTACAAGTTCAGCTTATTCGAAAAGGATGCATTCTATTTCTCTATCAAATTAGCATGGCTATAACATTTCTGTTGATATAATTGAGAAATTGGAGAGCTGTGTTCGAATTCCAGTCAAATCTATTACATTCACTTACATGCTAATACTCTTGGGAAAGGTATGAATCCTCTGCTTCTCCCCTCAGCTATGGGTAAATAGCAGGACAGACCAGGTTCTATAGCCTTGGATGGCAACTGGTCTACTACAGAAAGAAATGGCAACCTACTGTGGGGAAAAAAAATTTCCCTCGTCAGTCATGTATTGAAAGATATGTGATCGCCTAAGTGTGTATCATGCATAGCACATGATTGACTGAATCTTTCCTCTGGTGTATATTGTATTTGGTAATTGACAAAAGACCATCAGATGCTCAAAGGAGACCTAAAAAGTATATAATCCACATTAAAAATAGCAAAGATAAATATAATAACTTAATTAATGTGATTAAAGGTACTACTTAAATAGATTGGTCCTTTTCCTTCTTTTAGGTGCCATGTCCCTTCCGGATAATCATGGTTCTCCACAACCTTCTATTCCCATGGCCCTTAGCAGCATTTCTCCCTTTGTCAAGCCTCATGCTCCCTGTTGCATCATCCATTCACACAAGCTCATCAGGTAGGTAACTTGCTGCTTTCCCCTATCTCCCTTGCTTTTTAGATACCCTGTGAGAGTTAAGTTTACCAAGCCTACCTTCCTCATTACATCTAAGAAATTTCAGCTGTCACTTTTTGATTCTGAATATGTGTTCTTTTACTTGCCAAAAAAAATAAATATGTGAAAAAATTCGTTTGAAATAATTTTTGTAGATAAGCATTCTTTAGACACTTAGGCCACTTGCCAGAATTTTGATTTTTTTTTTTAATCATTTTAGAAGTGGGACATTCTCTTCATAATATTGATATGTAAAATTTATGACTTTTACAGAGTTATCGGAACTTAGATGTTTGTTTACAAATGTCAAATTTGAAACTATGCTTGTGTGTGGCATTCATTGGTCTCAAAAAACCTTGGATCTATGCACAAAGAGTTATGTCACAGCTGTTGATGGCAGTGCAGCATCTGTTATGCATGGGAGTGTCAGTCTTGATTGCAATAAATGCATGTGAAGACCCTCTCCCTTGATGTTGCCTTGGTTTCTTTCTGTCGAGCATGCTTCTCCCTGGCATCAAGTTTTCATTTCTCCTCCCCTTGCTCCATCCCTTGGCGCAAATCGCATTATTGATATCAGCATATGAAAAGTTTTTTTTTTTTTTTTAATTCACAGAAAGATTTTTATTAAATAAGGATGAAATGAATGTATACATTTTCATCCATTTTTTTATTTTAAAGTATTTTAAACAAGCAATAGCAATGGTTTTTCTGGCAAAATAGATTTCTTAAATATATACATTTTCTTAATTAAGGATCTAACAGATATATACACTTTTAATTAAGGACTAAATTATATATATATATATATAATATATATATATATATATATATATATTTGGTTGGATAGATGTGAAACGAACTCACATCTATTCAACCAAATATGTTAGCTCTATCTCTGATATTGAGCGCTTTCTAATAAGTACCGCGCATATAATATATAAATAATTATATATATATATTATATTTATATACACACACTTTTCACATATACATATATATATATATATATTAAGCAAGTAAATGTTTGTCAGGTTACCATTAAGTTCTTTCATTTTTTTTTTTTTTAAAGATTCCTTTTAAATAAAGAACAGATGAATATACACGCATTTTAAAGAAAGGATTTGTTTAATTAATGAGTTAACAGAAAATATTAAAAAGTAATTATTTAACAAATGTCTTTGGAATTACAAATAAAAATATAAAAATTTCACAATATTAAAAGAAATATGCAGATATCGATGATGCAAACACAGATTCAAACCTGACATAATCACCATTAGATTCATTTAACTCTTTCCAAATTCTGTGCACTGTCCACAGATTGACATCCAAAACTCTGAAATGTTTGTATTGGAGCTTCTGGTGCAAATGCCAAGCAGTACTGCATGCTGTTTCCAAATTTCTGGTGGAGTTGTGTCATGGTGCTCTTTTTCTCACAGATGGTGCCCAACTGACTCTACTATACTGTGCAGTCAACAAAATCAAAAACAATGTGTATACAGGAAATTAAAAATATAAATTGGCAACGATTTACCCATTACACCCTATATAGTCACGTTGGATAAAAACAACCATTTTTTAATAAAATATTTTTCATGTGTATGTTTTTTGAAAAATCCACACTTGTATTCTTGTGCTAGAGTGAAATGGAACAAGAGCATTTGATTAACAGGAAAATAACTGTAGCTGCATGAAAATTTTATTTAGTAAGAATGCTTTAGACTCTTATCTTTTAGAATCATAATATACCATGTTGATTATATATTTTCCTTTTTCTCTCTTTTTCTTATTTGTAGAGTGAAAACAATATGAATTCCTCTTTTTATTCTTCTCCTTCATTTGTTTTCATCTCTTCTTTCTACCTGTCCATCTACAGTAATACAAAAAATCCGTTTCTTTTCTCTCTTTATTCTGTCTCTCTTTTTATTTTGTCTTCTTTTGTCTCTCTTTTCCCCGTGTTTTTTGCCACTCTTTTTTTCCCGTGTTTTTTGCCACTCTTTTTTTCCCGTGTTTTTTGCCACTCTTTTTTTCCCTGTGTTTTTTGCCACTCTTTTTTTCCTGTTTTTTTGCCCTTTTTTTTTCCCGTGTTTTTTGCCACTCTTTTTTTTCCCCGTGTTTTTGCCACTTTTTTTTTTCCGTGTTTTTGTTTTTTGCTCTTTTTTTCCCCGTGTTTTTTGCCACTCTTTTTTTCCCGTGTTTTTTGCCACTCTTTTTTTCCCCGTGTTTTTTGCCACTCTTTTTTTCCCGTGTTTTTTGCCACTCTTTTTTTTCCCCTGTTCTTTTTCTCTCTTCCTGTTCTTTTTGTCTCTCCCTTTTTTTTTTCTGACCTTCTTTCATCTCTTTTTTTTTTTGCCTGTGTGTTTTTTTTGTTTTTTCCTGCTAGCCAGTCTTTTTATTTTTGTCTCTCTCATCTCATTTATTTAAGATTTTTTTCAGGCAAGTAAATAGGAGATGCAACCTTCTCTTTTTTCCTTGTTGATGTAAAAGACATTTTTTCCTTCTTTTTCTCCACCCCCAAAAAACTTGCAATTAAAATTACCCTCTCTGCTTTAGTAGTGAGGTACTGAAAATAACACCTCTATCTTCTTTTCCCATCTTCTTTTGTTACTTTTTTTCCTATCTTTTTTTTGTTACTTTTTTTCCTATCTTTTTTTCCTATCTTTTTTTCCTATCTTTTTTTTGTCTCTTTTTTTTTCCTATCTTTTTTTTGTGTCTTTTTTTTCCTATCTTTTTTTGTCTTTTTTTTCCTATCTTTTTTTGTCTCTTTTTTTTCCTATCTTTTTTTTTGTCTCTTTTTTTTTCCTATCTTTTTTTTTTCTCTTTTTTTTTCCTATCTTTTTTTTGTCTCTTTTTTTTTCCTATCTTTTTTTTGTCTCTTTTTTTTTCCTATCTTTTTTTTGTCTTTTTTTTTCCTATCTTTTTTTCTCTTTTTTTTCCTATCTTTTTTTTTCTCTTTTTTTTTCCTATCTTTTTTTTTTTTCTTTTTTTTTCCTATCTTTTTTTTTTCTCTTTTTTTTTCTTTTTTTTTTTTTTTTTTCTCTTATTTTTTTCCTTTTTTTTTTTATCTTTTTTTCTCTTTTTTTCCTATCTTTTTTTCTCTTTTTTTTTCCTATCTTTTTTTTGTCTCTTTTTTTTTCCTATCTATTTTTTGTCTCTTTTTTTTTCCTATCTATTTTTTGTCTCTTTTTTTTTCCTATCTATTTTTTGTCTCTTTTTTTTTCCTATCTATTTTTTGTCTCTTTTTTTTTCCTATCTATTTTTTGTCTCTTTTTTTTTTCCTATCTATTTTTGTCTTTTTTTTTCCTATCTATTTTTTGTCTTTTTTTCCTATCTATTTTTGTCTCTTTTTTTTTTTCCTATCTATTTTTTGTCTCTTTTTTTTTTTCCTATCTATTTTTTGTCTCTTTTTTTTTTTCCTATCTATTTTTTGTCTTTTTTTTCCTATCTATTTTTTTGTCTTTTTTTTTTCCTATCTATTTTGTCTCTTTTTTCCTATCTATTTTTTGTCTTTTTTTTTTTTCCTATCTATTTTTTTCTCTTTTTTTTTTTTTCCTATCTATTTTTTTGTTTTTTTTTTTTTTCCTATCTATTTTTTTGTCTCTTTTTTTTTCCCTATGTTTTTTTTTCTCTTTTTTCCCTATCTTTTTTTTTGTCTCTTTTTTTTTTTCCTATTTTTTTTCTTTTTTTTTTTCCCTGTGTTTTTTTTGTCTTTTTTTTTCCCTGTGTTTTTTTTCTCTTTTTTTTTTTTCCCTGTTTTTTTTTGTCTCTTTTTTTATTCCCTGTGTTTTTTTTGTCTTTTTTTTTTCCCTGTGTTTTTTTTTTCTCTTTTTTTTTCCCTGTGTTTTTTTGTCTCTTTTTTTTTTTCCCTGTGTTTTTTTGTCTCTTTTTTTTTTTCCCTGTGTTTTTTTGTCTCTTTTTTTTTTCCCTGTGTTTTTTTGTCTCTTTTTGTTATTCCTGTGTTTTTTTTTTTTGTCTCTTTTTTTGTTATTCCCTGTGTTTTTTTTTTGTCTCTTTTTTGTTATTCCCTGTGTTTTTTTTTTTTGTCTCTTTTGTTATTCCCTGTGTTTTTTTTTTGTCTCTTTTTTGTTATTCCTGTGTTTTTTTGTCTCTTTTTGTTATTCCCTGTGTTTTTTTTGTCTCTTTTTGTTATTCCCTGTGTTTTTTTTTGTCTCTTTTTGTTATTCCCTGTGTTTTTTTTTGTCTCTTTTTGTTATTCCCTGTGTTTTTTTTTGTCTCTTTTTGTTATTCCCTGTGTTTTTTTTTGTCTCTTTTTGTTATTCCCTGTGTTTTTTTTTGTCTCTTTTTGTT